AGGAGAAAAAAACAAACAAATCTGTTTTCTACAAAGTACCTTCTGATTATGCATTCTTCTGATATTTTTATGTATATTCTCATAGTCTCTATATAGAAACCCAAAGACAAAATGATTTTATATTTGTCTGAGAACTATTTTCTATTGGCTACAGTGATTTTAAAAATCTCATTAGGTCTCTGCAATCTTAAATTTAATACAATGGCCATTTTGTTAATACAACAAATGGTTTGCTCGAGCAAATGCGTACATATAAACATTCAACATCTAGACACAGATGTCTGTGTTTTATTAGCCAGTGTCCTTGAGAATGTATCTATGTAACTTGAGCAACTCCTTTTCACTAATGGAGTGGAACATTGTAAAGAGAATTCTATTAAACAAAAAGTCAGTCTTATTACTGGATCTTGCTGGATCAATGGTGCTAAAAACATTACCCAACCAGTTTGAGAAGTATTCTTGTCAGATGTCCATCTAAATAATTACAGTCATTTTGTTTAAGTGAAATAACTTAAAAATTATACTGTTGAATGGGTGCATGTGTTGCACAGTCGATAAATCATACCACAGGTGAAGTAAACTCTTGAAAATACCCAGAGTGGAAGTTGATGGTAGGCAAAAAGCATTAATTCGCACATAAAAATGCATATTTCACACTTTTCTAAGAAGTCACTTTGTATTATTTCTGCATTGAATGGAAAGGAAAATTCACTTTAGGCTTGGGTTACCTGTACACCTTTTGGTTATGAAAGATCATTGCATAATATTTTATAATATTACATAATATTCAGAAATTCATATTTTGAAGAAGGCCAAACCTCAGAAATTCAACTTAGAGCTGATTTGTTGAGAGAACCTCCAACTGAAAATGAACTTAAACTGAGAACATTTGAGATTAATTTATATTCACGGAAAATACACAAAATAAGTGAAGGAGGTCAAAAAGTACAAATTTCCAGCTATAAAATAAATGAGTCACAAGAATGTAATGTACAGTATGGTGACTGTAGTTAATGATATTATATTGCATCTTTGAAAGGTGCTAAGAGAGTAAATCTTAAAAAGATCTCATCATAAGGAAAAAGAATTGTATAACTATGTATAGTGTCAGATATTAACCAGAATTCTTATGGCAATCATTTGCAATATATACAAATATTGAATCATTGTGTTGTACATCTGAAACTAATATAATGTTATATGTCAATTATGCCTAAAAAAAAATAAGTGAAAGAAAAACAAATACCCCCAAAATAGCTTATGTTATCTTATAGGTAGATATAAAAAATTAACATAAACATAACCATGACACAAATGTTAGAAAAAATTATGCCTCATGGATAGGTGGCCTTGTAAGAAATATTTCCTCACCTTTTATTTATAGAAAGGTTTCAATTTTTAAGGAAACTCTGTTATAATTACATCTAATTTCTATCATCATTTGTCCTGAAAACCTTAAGCAAAAACCAAAGGCTTATTCTAAAGGAAGTCAAGTCATTAAAGTACATTTGAAGGAACTGTATTGCAACATAATTTTTGCTTTCCTTAAACATTTTTAATATTTAAGGTGATGCAAATTTCTCCTCTCTGGAATTTCTCTGTTAATCTTTTGGTCAAAAAATTCTTCAAATTTTCACTGAGAATGATTGAAATTCTATGAGAAGTAAAGGTGTTTTTACAAAGGACCCTGAGCCATGAAGTACCATAAAGACTTGCTTATTTAATTTAGCAAAGTGAACGAATTGGATAAGGTTTTTGAAGCCAGGATTGAACAGAGTAAAGGAAGTCCATCCTGGATTAGTATTTCTGAAAATCAGAAGAGCCTCTTCTCCAACAGTTGGCAGAGGGCTGCCTTATGGTAGAAGTAAACTCCGTTTTTTGAAAGCCTCATTTATCCCCAAAAATAAAGATGCAGAGGAAGAAACAGTAGAGTATTTTAAAAGACATTTATATTGTCTGTCAGCTTAGCTTTTAGCTCAGACATAACAGTTATTTCAATACGTAAACACACACATATTAAGAAGTTAACACACACTTAACAAAGAGGTCCTCTTTTCTGTTACCCAACATTTCTAGGACAAAGCCAATCAAGTATCTGGAACCATATTTTAGAACAAACGTGATTCTCTGAATTATAGGCCTTAAGTCTTTTTTTTTCCTTAGTGAGTAACTGATTTTCTTCCAGAAGGAAAAAAAAGTAAGCTTCTTTGTAAATAAACAGACACGTACATACATGGTAGGTGTGATAGGATGTCTTCAGATAGGAGTTTTTGACTTTTGGGAGAAGAACAGCCTCATGGTGAATTAATACTAGGTATTTTCTCTATATGTTTTTCCTCCAATGGAGACTTTTATAAAAGAATCTATTAAAGACTATTCTACTTGTGAATGAGCTTTGAATTACCTTTGCTATTGTCAAAGCCCATTTATCAACCTGACAATGTAAGTCTCTAAAAGCAAACAGGGGCAAGAAGGGGCCCTGCACTCTTGCCTTGGCAGAATTAAGTGTCTTTTCCACAGAGAAAGGAGTCCTAGACACAGCTGTAGCATTTTACACAAACTTAGCGAAACACTATATAATGTCTTTTTTTGGAGGGCCCTATATAAAGCGTGTCTGATATATTTCCGCATGCCCCTACCTTGCAACAGTGCATTAACAAATACATATACTTGTCCATCTCCATGAATCTGATGTACATGCTTTTAAAATGCAAAGGTCCAGGAGAAAAAAACAAACAAATCTGTTTTCTACAAAGTACCTTCTGATTATGCATTCTTCTGGTATTTTTATGTATATTCTCATAGTCTCTATATAGAAACCCAAAGACAAAATGATTTTATATTTGTCTGAGAACTATTTTCTATTGGCTACAGTGATTTTAAAAATCTCATTAGGTCTCTGCAATCTTAAATTTAATACAATGGCCATTTTGTTAATACAACAAATGGTTTGCTCGAGCAAATGCGTACATATAAACATTCAACATCTAGACACAGATGTCTGTGTTTTATTAGCCAGTGTCCTTGAGAATGTATCTATGTAACTTGAGCAACTCCTTTTCACTAATGGAGTGGAACATTGTAAAGAGAATTCTATTAAACAAAAAGTCAGTCTTATTACTGGATCTTGCTGGATCAATGGTGCTAAAAACATTACCCAACCAGTTTGAGAAGTATTCTTGTCAGATGTCCATCTAAATAATTACAGTCATTTTGTTTAAGTGAAATAACTTAAAAATTATACTGTTGAATGGGTGCATGTGTTGCACAGTCGATAAATCATACCACAGGTGAAGTAAACTCTTGAAAATACCCAGAGTGGAAGTTGATGGTAGGCAAAAAGCATTAATTCGCACATAAAAATGCATATTTCACACTTTTCTAAGAAGTCACTTTGTATTATTTCTGCATTGAATGGAAAGGAAAATTCACTTTAGGCTTGGGTTACCTGTACACCTTTTGGTTATGAAAGATCATTGCATAATATTTTATAATATTACATAATATTCAGAAATTCATATTTTGAAGAAGGCCAAACCTCAGAAATTCAACTTAGAGCTGATTTGTTGAGAGAACCTCCAACTGAAAATGAACTTAAACTGAGAACATTTGAGATTAATTTATATTCACGGAAAATACACAAAATAAGTGAAGGAGGTCAAAAAGTACAAATTTCCAGCTATAAAATAAATGAGTCACAAGAATGTAATGTACAGTATGGTGACTGTAGTTAATGATATTATATTGCATCTTTGAAAGGTGCTAAGAGAGTAAGTCTTAAAAAGATCTCATCATAAGGAAAAAGAATTGTATAACTATGTATAGTGTCAGATATTAACCAGAATTCTTATGGTAATCATTTGCAATATATACAAATATTGAATCATTGTGTTGTACATCTGAAACTAATATAATGTTATATGTCAATTATGCCTAAAAAAAAATAAGTGAAAGAAAAACAAATACCCCCAAAATAGCTTATGTTATCTTATAGGTAGATATAAAAAATTAACATAAACATAACCATGACACAAATGTTAGAAAAAATTATGCCTCATGGATAGGTGGCCTTGTAAGAAATATTTCCTCACCTTTTATTTATAGAAAGGTTTCAATTTTTAAGGAAACTCTGTTATAATTACATCTAATTTCTATCATCATTTGTCCTGAAAACCTTAAGCAAAAACAAAGGCTTATTCTAAAGGAAGTCAAGTCATTAAAGTACATTTGAAGGAACTGTATTGCAACATAATTTTTGCTTTCCTTAAACATTTTTAATATTTAAGGTGATGCAAATTTCTCCTCTCTGGAATTTCTCTGTTAATCTTTTGGTCAAAAAATTCTTCAAATTTTCACTGAGAATGATTGAAATTCTATGAGAAGTAAAGGTGTTTTTACAAAGGACCCTGAGCCATGAAGTACCATAAAGACTTGCTTATTTAATTTAGCAAAGTGAACGAATTGGATAAGGTTTTTGAAGCCAGGATTGAACAGAGTAAAGGAAGTCCATCCTGGATTAGTATTTCTGAAAATCAGAAGAGCCTCTTCTCCAACAGTTGGCAGAGGGCTGCCTTATGGTAGAAGTAAACTCCGTTTTTTGAAAGCCTCATTTATCCCCAAAAATAAAGATGCAGAGGAAGAAACAGTAGAGTATTTTAAAAGACATTTATATTGTCTGTCAGCTTAGCTTTTAGCTCAGACATAACAGTTATTTCAATACGTAAACACACACATATTAAGAAGTTAACACACACTTAACAAAGAGGTCCTCTTTTCTGTTACCCAACATTTCTAGGACAAAGCCAATCAAGTATCTGGAACCATATTTTAGAACAAACGTGATTCTCTGAATTATAGGCCTTAAGTCTGTTCTAGAAATAGTTGCATGGCCAGTGTAATTACGGTTTGTGTGAGTCACAGAGGCTGCTCTAGGCACTGTTCATCCTATTTATACTTTAGCCCTGGAACAAATACTGAGAAGTTAAGGAAACAATGCCAAAGAACTGTGTCAGGTGGAATTCAATGGCCACAACCTCCTTTCTCATAACTTCAACTAAACTTAATGATCCCAGCAGACGGGTTAGGGAGACCTCCTGCTTCCCTGAAAGTCCTCAGCAGTTACAAGGGGACATGCAGGTAGGTTATAGCTTTGTTTGAGTTCTGACCTTGCTGGGCTATTATAGAGAATTGGATCCAAGGAAAAATTTGGACACAGCAAATTTCTCTATGGCAGAATAATACACTTCACAAGAGAAGTGTCAGATTATTGAATTCTTTGTGCTGAAATGTGCTTTGTACAAGGGTGTATTATATTGGACCCTACCAGCCAAATACGGTTTCTATATATTCTGTCTGCCTTCAGCTTACAAGTCATCTTGATGTGTGGGAATTTTTGTAGAGCAACAAGTTGTTAGTTGAATGCCATCTAATATTTTTTTGTTTTCTCTTGAATTAATAAAATCAAAGAAAGAAAATCCAAATTATGAGAATTATAGTTTTAAAAGTAGAAAAAAAAAGAAAGTCCCATGTTCCAATTAGACAAAACTAGTAATATATTTGGAATATCTTGTCTCCATATTCAACCTATAATTAAGTGTATGTAAATTTGATCAAACTGTAAACTCACGATTAGATGAGACTACATAATAAAATTGTCAAGAACAATTAGATCCTTAAGGAAAAGACAGCCAATACTGAAAAGCATCTTTTGGTATGAGAGAGATTGTGAGGCTTAAAATATTTTTCCCCTAAAAGATGAGAGTATTTTTGCGGTTCTCATTATTTTCATTTATGTACTATTTACTTCTCACAATTTAATTATTTACTGTAGGAAATCTTCTATTATATCTTAGAATGAATCTATCATGATTTCACACAGATTTTAAAAGGAAAAAACTTACTTGTTCTATTGAAATTTTTTTTGAAGTGTTTTAAACTCAGAAAAATTTAAGCTCATTAAGTTGGGATATCATGAAAGCTTTGCAAACATGATCGAACTCATCACTCACTCCCATTACTTATATTTCTTTCTGATCCCTGATAATGTTTCATTTTGTGATCTGATCACTATTTCTGTCTCAGTTTCTCTGTCCCTCCAGCTAATGTTTACTGACATTATGCTAAGTGCTGTAATATGTGCAGTAAGCCTAGGGTGACAGGAACAATCTGCCCTCATTTTTCAGAAAAAGAACTTGAGTGTTGCCTCACAGGCAGCAAAATAGCACAGGCCAGATTCAAATCCTGGTCCTGCAATTCAGTTAGGCATTTTGCATCTCAGTGATGAAATTTCCCTTCGTTAGACTTTGAGAATCACATCTGTTGGAACTGAAATAGGGCTCAGGGATCCTTAGAATAGTGGTTCCCAAACCCATTGCCCATCCAAATCACTAGGGAGTATAGATTCTTGGGTGCTGGTCCTAATTTCAGATTCCTCTGGGCTGGGGTGGACCTATGGTTATTTGTATTTTGAATATGCTTCACAGCTGAGATTTGGAAAGCATGTATCTCTTTGAAGTCTTTATTTCACAGAAGAGACAAATCAGACTTGTGTTGGTGATGATAAGAAAAGTCCAGGCTTTTACTCCTCATATCAATCCTTTTTCTACTCTATTGTGATCAGCTTGTTCTTGTACACATCAACTGCCAATGGGGATTGCACAAAATTATTTTATTTCCATTTTCTCTAGTGAATGAAATTAATGCATCTATTGAGAGAGATTTGCTCAAAAATGTTCATGGAACACTGTGCTTTTCCTATTATTTTTGTTAAAGGACAGAAGGAGCAATTGAACCCTTATGAAAAAAATTATTTAATACCACAGATGGCACTGTCCGTGTGGCAAAGCATATTGGCATTGTTAAGTATTGTGTCGGTGGCCTGACCAGAATGTATTAAACCCCACTTAAAATCAAATTTCATGTCAAAGGGCCTTGAAAGAGCAATGCCATAGTGAAATTCCAAAGGGGAAGTGCACTGAACAGGTTAATAGAGCCCATTAGAGGGTGTTTGCAACACTGTTACATTTCGAGAATGTGGCTTTGGTGAGTGAAAATGGCTAATAAGGACACCTGAACTAATTTCCCACTTGAATTCTCACTTTGTTTATAATCCTATATTTAATATGGAGAGGAAAATTAAAGGAATATGAATTCTCTGAATATTTCTCAGTATTTGGCCAAAGAAAGACAGACTGTCTTTTTTTGAGGGGGGGCTGGCTTATGAGTACAGTTACCCTAATGGAAAGACCATTAATATTACATGATGACTCATCATATTAAATAATGTACAAGCTGAGCTAGTTCTAAGCCCTTCATTTAACATGGGAGAAACAGAGCATTTCCTTCTAATTATTTGCAAGTATTATCTTCTAAATTAATGGATTTTAAGAAAAAATAGCTTTGTCTGATATCACATTGTAGTATAACAGAATCTCAAATGAGGCCTTGTTTGAATTAGATGTGAATATTTGTTGACAGAATGATACAACTGACCCAGAACTAGATGGAAGTCATTAGTTAGCATTTTTCTGAGAATAGAAGAAACACTCACATGTGAGATACTAGCTTTCAAGAATACTTAAGGAAAATGTGGCACTACTAACTAGGTCTAAGACTTAATTACCACACTCTATCATCAGTGAAACTCAGCTTTTGACCCTGAAATAGTATTGTACAATTAAAAGTGTCCTGATAGGAAGTAATTTTTTCCTGGGTTCAATAGATTCCAGTGCCATAAGAGATTTATATTAATACTATAATGAACCCTAGTGGGTAGTAATACCTGCCTATTCTATCTTGACAGGGCACTTCTCAACTTTCTTAAGGGTTAAAAACCTAAAAAAAAACTAAAACAAAGAAGATAAAGTGAATTGCATACAGTTAAGATGACAGACCCTTAACTGTTCACCACTCGGCAACCTGATTCATTTAATAATCATTTGTTGTATGTCTATCATATGCATAATTTTTTCTCTACTGCAACGTATTTTTCAGAAGTTCTAACTGCCAGACAGCATGTTACATTTCCTCTTCCACTGCTGACTACATACCTCGTAACAGGAGAAGCATTAATTTGACCTTGAATGTGATCTCTTAGCAACAGGTAAATGAGGGAAGAGAAAGTTGAAAATTGCAACCCTGACTCCAAACTACAAAGTGAAGACAATTTTCTGTAAAGTCCATTTATTCCCAAATCTTTTTTTTTCTGCCTCTCAGACAGCCTTACCACTAAACGCTGCTATTAAAGTGCTACTCATTCCACCTCACTGAAGAATTGCTCTCCTAGTTGTTACAATGACTAGGAAACAAGTAGACTAGACAGAAGTTGCCACATGGATCTTATATTTATTCCCAATATGCAGGGAAAAGGATGAGAATAGGTCAAATGTCTATTGTTCTTGTATCATCAAAGGAAAATAATAACACACCAGGTTCACATAGCATCTCTCAGAAGGGTGTCTTACTTCTTCACAAAGCACCAGAGGGTGATAAAATACATGGTGGCTATGCTGTTTGACAAGTGAAATTCTAAATTAAAAATTTTAACTAACATATTCACAACCAAAGTTGGTCAACTTGAGAACTGTAATCAAAAGGTAATCATCGTAATTAATGACAACGTAAGTGGCTCACGTTATACTAGGCCTATAAGGCTACAAAATAATAGGGAAACTAAAATTCTCATTTTGGAAGTGTGTATGTGTCTGTGCGCCTCCGTGTGTTCCCTGTGGATTTCGTTGTGTCTCAAAAAAGATACAGTGTCATCCTAACCACCCCTCCCCTTACAGAATGTGAACTTACTTGGAAATCAGGGCCTTGCAGGTGTAATTAGTTAAGATGTGGTCATACTGGAGTAGGCGGCCCTTAATCCAATATGACTGGTGTTCTTATAAAAGAGGGAAGACACTGCAAACAGACACACAGTGTGAACACCGTGTGGAGGCAGAGGCTGGGACTGGAGCGATGCAGCTGCACGCCAAGGAAGGCCGAAGATCGACACTGCCACTGGAAGCCGGGAGGATGAAAGAAAGGATCCTGTGGCCCTGCCAACACCTCGATTTGGGATTTTTAGCCTCCCGAGTTGTGAAAAAATTAATTTATGCTGTTTTAAGGCACCCCATTTGTGATATTTTATGACAACCCTAAGAAACTTAGAGTTTCTATCTATATCTATCATCAAGTTACCTTTCTATATCATAGACATATATATATATATCAAGACATACATCATCTCCCAGAACAGTCCCCATACATACACATAGAGCAAAATAAGAATATATGTATATATGTCAATATTTTAAAAGTTGCTATCTCTGGGTAATAGGAGAAAAGGTGACTTTTAAAATGTATATTGTTTATAATTTTCTACATGAAATTTATAATTCTGTTGTAATAAAATAATAAATTAGTCATAAAAGGGTCATCTCCAGCATGGCCAAATGTACAGAAACAAAATTTAATATGGCTTTTTCTATCGATAATCTAAACTTCTTCGTACTTAACATTCTAATTCTTCATTTCGAAAATAGTACTGATACTTATGACATGGCCCAAATATGTTAGGTCTCTTTACTGTTTTTTGGTAAGTTTCAACATTTTTTATCACTGTTAATCAAACTTCGTGTCAGTACAAACTCAAAAGTAGTACATATTTTTCAGTTGGAACTGGGTTGAAGCTCTTCTCCAATTTCTAGAAGCTATTTGATTTGGGACGAATTTCTAAGCCTCTCTCAGTCTCCAATTTTTTATCTATAAAAAGTGGACATTTATATATAAAAATAAAACCTACACTCACCGAGATGTATGATCTTTGGGACACAAAACATACACAGTAATTGCTTAGCCCAATGTCTAATATATACATACTCATTAATGCTCATTATCATTATCTGCCGAGTGGGAAAGAATACTCAAATAATGAACATAGTACTTTGAGTATCTATTCCCTTGTCATGAAGGAGATAACATCAGTCTTTAAAATCAATTATCCACTGCTTTGAATGTAATCAGTGCCATGTAATTTGTACAGTCTCTTTTAGAAGTTACTTAATCTGACAATAAGTTTGCTCAACTGTGTAATGAAAAAAAAAAACATCTCATTTGGATAGTTTTGAAATAACAATAATGATAACAACTATTATTTATTGAGTCCTGATGAGGTATCAAGGCTCTAGATGAGAAATTTATGCACAGCAGCATGTTCAATCCTTGCAAAATTTTATGAATTATTTTGAGGAATCACTCTTTAAGAATTAAATGTAGGAGAGCAACATAAATCTAATGGAATTGTTTGGTATTAGAAACAAGGCATATTGTGTACTTGCTGGTATTAAAATTATACTATCTTCTGAATATCTGAATAAGCTTTTGAAGGAAAAGATATACATATATTTACCCTGCCATTACAGTAATCCATGTATAGTCCACAACTTTGACAAATACTTTGAATAAATGAATACATGAATGACAGAATTAACTAATGAATAATGACCTGTCTGGAAGTATCTGAATTTTCAGTTATGTTTAAGATCTGTAAGCTTAACAGGTCTTTCTTTTTAAAAGTGCATTTTAATCTTGATTCTGCTAGTATTTTTCAGATATCCATTAAGGATTAACTCAACAAATACATTTATCATACATATATAATTATACACACATGCCCTATATATGAATATACTACATACCATATAATATATTATACATTGCCTCAAATTTTATGCAAAAAAAAAACAACAAAAAAACTTGGTGGTTCCTTCAATATTTTTAAAACTATGAATGTGAAGTTTTTGATTTTGCTTAAAGCCTGCATTGCCCTTCATACCAATCAAAAATGCACGTGAAAAATCAGATTTCATGGGACACACACACACAGAAACACAAAATCACATTTTGTATGGCCCTGTGGCATTTTGACAAAATGGCCCTGAAAAGAATATGAAGAAATAGTATGAGAAGAGGAACATGAATGTAGAGAGAAATTGTTTTTATTGATTTTCCTGGCAGTACAGTTCATAACATGAGAACTAAATTTATGAAGTCAGTTGTTGATTTGGCACCGAGAAGCAGGCCACCGTTACAACTCAGAAGGTTGACTCTTACATCCTTCTGATTATTAATTTCTGAGTTTCTGGCCTGTTTTTGACATCCAAATGATAATAACCAGGATGAAATCAAAGAAATTAGGTACTTTAAATGAACAAGAAAATTCTTATTTTTGGAGACATCCTGCAGCGAGATCTTAGAATCTGTATTGGGTCTTTTAGGTATTATTCAACTTCTTTGTACACAGTGGTACCCTGTTACAACAAAAAAAATTTGACTTGGAAACAGATAGAATGCAATATCCTTAGTAGAAATGGATTTATATGATTGTTCTAGGACACACTCCAAATTTTTTTTAAATGTTGGAAATCATACAATTATAATAAATGATTATCATACTGCCAATAGCTTTTGGTTTCCTGATAACTTAGCTTTACAGAAGCCAAGTGTCAGATAATATCTTTAACAAAACAAATATGAGTAACATACAAACTATGTGAGAATCTGAAACAATTTGTAAGGATTGTTTCTTTGGATGTTAAACAGTTGCAGAATCCACTGTTACTCTCCCTTGTGTACAGTTCTATTTCCATTTGCTTTCTGACACATTATTAAATGCAATCATCAAGCAGAGTGTTTCCTGGAGCAGAAGAGAAGCAGAGGGAAATTATGTTACTCAGAATATCCTAAATTCAATAAACAAAGTCTCTGTGTATATGCACAACCAATTTAACCATGTTGACTCAATTGGTCAATCAATTCTGATTTAAAGCGAAGGTCAGCTCAGTCAAACTAACAATCAGTTCAAAGAAAATCAGTAAAAACTTTCGCTTTCAATTTGCATGCCTTGAATATTACAGATGATGCCATTATTCCAGAAAAGAATAAGAAAAACATCTGTATGTAACACTTAATTTAAGATTATTGAGTTCTAAGTTTGTTTTGTTAAATATTGTTTTTACACTTTCTGGACTCTGTATATACATTTTTTTTTTACTGCAAAAGAAGGAAATTCTTTTGCAATAAAATAGGAAGAATACATAACTTTCCTTGAGAAAAATCTAGATAAATTTTATAATGAAAGAAAAAATTATGATTTCCTAAGAGTTACAGTCTCAGGGACAAAACAAGGTGGCATCCGTTAGAAAAAAAGATAAACCTTCTAGAAGAAGAAAATTCTATAGAAGAAAATGAAAATTGTAATCTTTGGATTTTTCATCATCAAATCACTGTCTGAACACCATATATATTATATGATTTAAGTAACAGATCAAACAAGCAAACAAAATGATTTCACGGGCCCTGAGAGACAAACTTAATACACTGATTATCAGCAGGTAGTTTCTGCTAAAATACATTTTTTATAAAATCACAAATATTCTATCTAGGGCACACCACAAATGCATAGAATACAAAGTTGTAAGAAAACATGGACACTGTAACTTAAAGCTTTCTTGTAAACTATGCATGTTTTGGAGTTATATTGCATAGAAACCAACATGACAAGAAGTGGGAGTCAGTGACGAGCACAGTCACGCTCTTTCAAAGAGAAGTTTGTCCTGTGAAATGGTTAAAACCTGGGCTTAGAGAGGACTGGACAGAACCAAGATTCCCTTTTATAAAGTATCATAAACTTGAACAAGGCATCTAACAAACTGTCTGGTTTTCTTGAGACTAATGAAAATTTTGTGTCGCGTGCTTACTACAGAGAGCATTGAAAAATTACCATTAAATAAATTATAGCTATATTGTTATTGATACATTACATAGATTAAGTTCATCAATGTGGCAGAGGGTTCTTGGTCTTTTGAGAAAAACGTAATGACAATTTACTAATTTAAAACACACTGTAATCAGATTACAAGAAGAAATTGCTTGTGAGCCTCTAAATATACTGAAAGTGAAAATTTTTAGACTGGAGAGAGTTTGAAGTGATTGGTCTTGGGGAGCATTTGAAACTTAAGGCATATGGACAGCATTAAAAATATACACAGAAGTAGCCTATGTAGACATCAAGGCTTGGTAAAACGAGCTTTGGCAGATGTCCAATAACAAGTCATGAAAACTGTCCCCTCAAGGGACTTTAATTAAATGTTTGGCCACTCAGGGCCATCCAAACAATACAGCAATACACAAGACAAAACTATTTAAGAACCTAATGGCACTGGGAGCTCTTTGGAGATGTAAGAAATAGGGGTTTCTTGAAAATTAAATGCTACCAAAGGTATAATTAAGTGACCTCAAATAAATTATCTCTCTGTGGGTGGGCTCCTGGTTATTTAAATGTTAAGAGAAGTAATTCATTATCATGGAGAGATATTTAATCCCATAACTAAGACAAAGAACTATATATCCACAAAAAGTCTATATTTTATCTGCAAATATGAGCAAAGGGAAAATTAGCTTACTACCAGATGCTGTTAATTCTTCTTGATAGGATTTTGCCAAACTAGTTAAACTTCTGTCCAAAGATGAAGGCAACATTTTTTCTGGTCTCTAATATGCCTGACCAACCAGATTTGCTGTTATTACCACAAAAAAGCAGGCTGTTTGCAGTTTCACTATGCCTGAATAACTGTGTAGTTTCCTAAGTCCTTCTGCCTCCTCATTGGTCAATCTCTTCAATTAGTAGATAGAACTTAGAGTAGATCTCTAAGGTTATTTTCATCTCAATATTTTATACATGCAAGAAAATAATAGTTTAATGAATATGCAAAACACTTCAGTTATATTTATATAGATCCATAAGAATAAGATAATATAGCATTAATAAGAAAATATTATGTTGCTTCTAATTTCTTTGGTGAGAAACATAGAACTGAATTCAGAGATATTCAACTCACCTTATACTGACTATAAATTGTTGCTCACTCTAGAATATAGTGGACACACACTGTGAAAATGAAAATTGCATTTATCTATCTCAAGTTGGGGAATACATTATTTAACTATTTTCAAAACTATTTAACATGTCTCATTGGGGGGGGCTAATGAAACAACATTGAAATAACATGATGCTTAATCATTAAAGGAAAAATGTTTATGTAAATTATAATGTAGATTATGTGTAAATATGACAAGTATTCCCAGTTTATACATTCTACAGTCATGTTCTTAATGAGTGTCAAAATAAGACTGAAGCACTATACCCAAAATAATCTTTAAAAAGTAATAACAATTCAATGTTAGAAATGATATTGTGTAGGAAAGTGTTTCATTTATATTATTTTAAGAACATGTTGTTGAAGAAGTTACGAAAGTCATTTGATGTTGTTTTCAAGGACTCATGGAACGTTTCTTTTCAGAATGAACATTCCTTCCAAATTGGTTGTCGTTTCAAGTTAATTGAAATATAAATAATCACAGACTTCTAAAATAAAAATGAAAGCAAGCAAATACAGAAAAATTAGCTTAAGGAATAATGGTATGACATATAAAGTCAAGAAGAATGTCACAATTTCAAAAGAAAATTCTTAGAAAGAAACTTGAAGTGTTTCCTAATTGTTGGTCTTCTCTGTATAAGGGGGAAAAGTTGCTTTAATGCCTACTGAGTCTTGTTCTAGAAGCTATGGCTTTTGCCCAGTAACAATGGAACAACAGGATTAGGTCTGCAGTCAGTTACACGTGGCAGTGAGTGTCAGCCTGTAAATAACTTCACAATTCTGTGCCTTGCTGCCTCTGTTGATTCTTCTACTTGGCTTTGCTTATTCTATTGTTCCCCTTCTGAATGACTGTATCTGGAATCACGCACTCAAAGACTCTATCATTATCTGAAGCACATTTGTCTATGTGAGAGAGTACTTATTAGGCTTGCCACTAGATTGCCAGCACAGTTGGTGTGAAAGGCTGCCAGGCAATTAACTTTTTCATTCAGTAATTTAAAAAATATGACCTAGATTGTATGGAGGCCTTTTACCTCCTTAACTAAATCACTTGTCAAACTATATTTATTGTCCTCGGGAAGGTCATTAAAATAAAAGTAATACAAATTAAGAAAATCATCATTGTAACTAGATGTCATATATACTTTCCAAGTAAATGCATACTTCCTAGCTACGTGATTACTATCCATTTATCTGTCTACATTTATAAGTTTTTGGATAAAATTTGTTTTGATGGCCTGGCATAGGTAAAAGGAAATTTAACAAGTTAATATTGCTTGCACAGTCATCAACAATATTTAAGGTGAATTCTGAAGAACCTCACCATTGGGAATACTCATTAAATCAATGAGTTAAAACAAAGAATACAGTAATAACTTTAAAGTGAAAATGTGTATCACATAATTTCTCAGTATAGATTTGTCTGTCTTGGAATTCACAGGTGGAAATATTTTGTCTTTGTTTTTGTTTTCTGTGTGTGTGTGTGTGTGTGTGTGTGTGCGCGCTTGGCTATGTGTTTAGGCAAGACAAAATTTCCCTAATGCTCCTATAAAAAAACTTAAAATGTTCAAATTCTTGTTCAGAATCTTATTGCTTTCAGTTTTCCTAGGCCATTTCAACTTAATTAGATATTTAAACCCTAAGAACCTCCTGTGAGTGTCTATCAGAAGATTTATTTTCCTTGAAATTCTAACATGCTATCTATATGATTCTTAAAACACTTAGAAAATTCACATTTTTTTCAGGTACATGTTTTGTCTCCTCTTTGAGAGTGTAAGGATCTTGTAAAGATGTCACATAGAGTTCACCCTTCTGGTTATATAGACTGTATCCAGTAGGTGCTAACTAGGCCTTTCCTAAAGAAAGTAATGGATGAGAAGTAAATGGCTGCAGTGATGGGTATATTTACAAATGAATTTATAAACATGCCTTTTCCAGACGAGAAATTTTTCTCAACTGAGGAAGATTTTTAAATCCTGCATTGTATTTATTTATTTTTTGCCTTTGCTCTCATTTATGGAATACATAGTATTACTTTGGCAGCTGAATTCAGTGTCAGCATCATTTTCTTATAGTAGTAACTGGCACCTGACCTTCATTATTGGATGTACCATGAGAGCCCCACTCGTCCCCAGACACATCAACAAACTTTGATTTTCTTCTCTAATTGCCGATACAGAGAAGCCAATATATGTTTATGTGTAGAAATTCATGTAGTTAACCCCTGAGTGCTTTGAATCACTACTGTTAAAAGTGATAATGCTTATTCTATTTAACATATTGTGCTTTAGTATCATGCTTTTTCCATTTTTTTTCTGTTTTCTATGATTATTCTGTTGTGAAGAATATGGGAAAAAGTTGACTACTTAAATAGAATCAGAAAAATAATGTCAGTTTCTCATAGGTGCAGAACAGGAAAAGATAACATGGCTAAACTTTTCTACTTCTATAGGCAAATATCTCTTTGAATATAAGCAAAAGAGATAGTAAGAAAGAGAAAGTCTCAAATGTTTCCAAATATTTTAAATAAAGCACATTTGGGTGTGCTTTTATGAAAGGATTTAATAAAGACCTAACTTATTAGTGAATAACAACATATTTTCCCTTAAACAGAGATTTTCTAAAAAATAAGTAAAACTTTAATATGTAAATAAGGAAGTTGGGATATTCACTGGCAACCACATACATATCTATAAAATTTGTCTCATTTGGATATTTGGTTAATAGATGAAAACAAGAAAGTGTCACACAGAGAGAATATAAACATCCAATGTTTATAGAGATGAAGGTAGTATCTGCAATCTGTTTGTATAAAATATGTTTCTCCTCTTTACACTGGAGCTCAGCTATGTTCCAGGTGGGTAAAATGTCTCCAACTTGAGTCCTAGTTATCAATAACATTATTATGTGAAAATTTAGTGTTTCTTTATAAACAAGATTCAAATAAAGTATCAGGTATTCTCATCTCAGATGCATATGCCTTAAAAATTATGTGAAATTTGCATGAACTGATGAAATACATCCTTCTGACTTTTCTTAGCCCACTTCTAGGATACATTGTTAACCTCAAGGAAAAACATTGCTGACAAATGACTTGGTTCTCAAATTTGAGAATTGCATTACAATGCTGTGCCAATAATTTGTCTAGTATTTCCTATTTGATAAAGATGACATGATGAGTGTTGCCTTCAAAAGTACTTAAAGAAGATTATATTTATATTTTTATATTATAAGACTCAACTTTAGGACCTAGTATGATGCCAGATGCTTACTTATGTGAATGAAATAGTTGCTTAAGATTTTTATAAGTCTGCTATTCCCAAAGCCATTATAAATGTACACAATTAGATTTTTTTAAAACTATTACCATCCAAAGATTTTGTAAACTTCAAAATACAGTTATACATCAGAGACATTAAAAGTTAGTATTTATAAATTTTCAAAATATGACAATTAGAATATCTAAGTTTCTCTGAAATTTAAAAACTTTAACAAAGAAAATGCTTTATAAACCTGAAAACGTTGTCTCTTAAAACAAGTCTAACACTTTTCTTTATTCCTGGTGGCAGGAAGGTATAAAAACATCATATTTCACTTGAAGATGAATCACATTAAGGAAGAAATAAAAGTATCAAGGAAAGAGAAATGAAGCACGGGCATTTGTGAATTAAAATTAGTGAATTTCCATGTCAAATATATATTTGCTACTATGAAATGTAAGTGTTTCATTAATTATATGTTCCTATAACATCTAGCAATAAAACATGTAGAGATATAGTCATACAGTAACAGCAAGAAAGAAAGCCAAAAGAAAACATTGGTAGCAGTAACAAAATCACATGAAATGGAACTGAACTAAAAATACCCAACATTTGATAAATACCTACATTCCATATTAAAAAATTAAATGATAAACATAATAGGAGAACATATTGAAATAAATTCCAGTTCTAAAGAGAAATCTGCAGGTAAGTTAGCCTGATTAGAATCAACAAAAGGGCACTGAGGACTCAGCAGCACAGACGCGCCCAGCTGGCACCTGTAACCATCCTGCTTCTCCCTTTTTCACATCATGAAGAGTAACCAGAATTTTTAGTCTTGCTAGTCTAGTGGCAGTCAGATGACTTCTTTCTTATACAGACTAGAGGTGCTGAAAGATTTTTAAATATTAGAAACACTGGATCTAGAGATTTACAAAGCAAGGCAGTGCCTTACGAAGTTTGTGTGGCATAAACTAGAGGTGTCTCTCCCTCATTAAATTCCTATCCAGTGTAAGAGGTCAGTCTATATAATCTTGCTGTAAGATTAATAATCATCACCTCTCTTTGGATATAACTTGGATATGTTAATAATCTTCAATCCTTCTTGTAGATGTTAAGTTTGCTGTGACTGTTTTGAATTCACATGTTGTTCCCAGGAAACTGCTTCAGTTTTTGGATCAAACGTTGTTTCAGGGTCCAGGTGTCCACCTGGCATGTATTTTACTACATACTGCTGAAAGCAATTTCAAATAACCAGTAACTTTTTATTTTTTTAATATATTATTTTATTATTTTAAAAATATATTTGCTTAATGGTATGGAGAAATTAACAAAATTATAAAATGGACCTTGACCAACTCCTAGGAAGTAAAATTTAACTATAGGGACAGAGCAAGTATACATGACAGGATACGGGACAACAGTGTTTGGTAGGTGACAAATAGCAGCAAATAGTTAACACACGGAGTGTCATAATGTTAGTAAAAAACAGAGTGCAGTGACATGAGAAGGGCAGGGAAGTCATGAGAAGATGAAGAAATCAAACTGAATATTGACATATGCAAAGGCTCCAAGTTAGTGGTGTGGAGGGAAGAATGGTGTGGGCTGAGGAAACAGTAGGAGCAGATGCATGGGAGCAGGAGAAAACTGATAGGAGCAGATGCATGGGAGCAGGAGAAAACTGAGCTACGTTTGGGTGTAGACTTTGGAACGATAGGCTGTGAAAGCTGGTGAGTAGGCAACAAGATGGGAATTGTGTGTAGGACCGGTGGGTCTGTGAGTTGAATGTGGCATTGTGAATACGGTGTTTTCACAGGAATACCCGGTGATGGCATGCAGACCTGTGGATGTGAGAAGAGATGGAAGTAGGGAGAGTAGCTGGGGAACTCTGACAGAGTACACGCGGGAACTGAGGGAGTGAGAAAATGAGTATATGGCTTCCCTTTTTGCTTTTATAAATCATATCTAATTTTTAGCTCTTACGAAGAAAACCATACACTGCCAACAGAAAAGATATCCTAACTGTTGCGAAAAGAGGGATCTGAAAAATAATTTCTTTTAAAAAAAAAAAAGCCATCAATGCTTCAGTCAAAAGTGTAATTCAACTCCGGAAGGATAGAGAGCAGTCACAGCCTACCATTTAACTATTTAAAAGGAAAAAAAAAAAAGTTGAGGAGGAAGAAGAGAAAAATCATTAATGAAAAAAAAAATTATGAAATTATGTATTTATTCTGAAGGGACATGGCTTGACTATGTTATTTTATTTGCTCTTTTCCTTGGAAGAGTCTGAAATTCATGCTAATGTGATTCTTGTGGAAACCATCAGTCAGATGCAGGCATCATCAGCCGCTTATCAGATTCAACAGAGTTTACAGTGTGTCAGAAACAAAGGCCCTTTTATAAATGCTGATGCACATAAACTTCTCAGAATCTCTTGTGCTCATTATGATTTTCTGATTCCTGGTCAGAATTATATTTTTGTTTCCTGAGGAGACTTTTATGTTTGGGAGGGTGAGTTGAGGGCAAAGATTTATCATGGGACTCTTACATCTTTCAATAAAAGATATATTTAAAATTTTTTTTTCACAAAAGTGTCTTTGGATTAAATGCATGGCATTGTTATCTACTATTTCTCAATAAAACTAAAACAAGAAAAAGAATCCCAGATACACTGTGAACTCCAAGTCAAGAGTCTCTATATTTTTGATGTTCAGTTGTATAGTGATAAACTCCTTCGTGTAGTTCAAAAATGGTTAGTGGTGAGGATGATATTACCACTCAAAGCTGATGGTACTAAGAGTAGAAGGGCTTATGTATCAGTTTCACAAAAACTCAAAACATTGGTTCTGAGATTTTGGTATAAGAGGACACTACTCATTAAGCAAGATTGATAAGGAATTGGCATGAGAAACCATTCTTTCCTGCACCATTTCAAAACTTTCCTAATGTCTTAAACATAAAACTGGCAGTTATATTCAGTTCCAAGACACAAAATTCCATTAGGCGAAGTTCTCTTAATATATAAAGTAATAACCTTACCACTTAGTTTAGATAGTTGCTAAGTTAACAACCATATTTTTCTATGAAGCCATAGAAAAAATGTTGATTAGAAATACCACCGATAAGCAAATTAATGTCATAATATTCAAATACAAGTATCACAGAACTAGAGGTCATCCATTTTCTGCCAAAAATATATTAAACGTATAAATTTCATGAACCACTTTTCCCACCCCCAAACACACACACACACACACACACACAAAACAATAGTTTTAAAGAGACCATGTCGGCTCCTATTTAAGAAAAAGTGTAAGATTTTTCTTTAGAAGATTGAATACCTGATGAAGTGTCACCTCAAAGCTGCTATTTTTATGCTGTGAAGGTTTAAGTTCTGCTGCTACCCATGAAAAAAAACATGAGATTTAGTGCTGTTTTACTGTGCTTGTTAAGAATTAAATTTAAGACAAAAGGTATTATTTAAGGCTTTTAATACCTAGGTTAAGAAATAGAATCCAACTCTAATGTATTCTAGAATGGCAACTTAAAACATTAGAAAACAATGAAGAAGAAATAACTACATAAAAAGTCCAGGCATTATGACCCTGTGGCTGGAAATTAGTTTGCTTCTTTCTAACTTCAATGTTCTCCAACAAGGCACTCTATCCATATAGCCATGCTGCTCTGTTTTCAGTACGGTTCATTCATTAATTCATCAAACACTGATTGCTTAATTCCCAGGTGCCAAGCCCCTGGAGTACTAGTAACTGGGGATACACAGATGCCTAAGAAGCAATCTCCATTTTCAAGAAACTCACAGTTCAGTTGGAGGCAGTCCTGTAAACAAATCATTATAATACAGTGAGACGTGCTAACAGATGCTTATACAATGGGGCTGTGATGACAGAGAAGGCATATTTGCTTGGGGATTCAAGGTCTTAAAGAGAAAGTGGTGTGTGAGCATATTTTGAGGAAAGAATTGGACTTTCCAAGGCAGATTCCATAATAATCAATGAAAGAAATGGTAAATAAGTAGGTGAACCAAGTGACTAAGATTCAGGTGTTACTCACAAATAATACCCAGCTCAAAATATATTATCATAAAAGAGGACAGACAATGTGAAGGCAGAGGATTTGGCTATAAAGCAAGATAGTGAAGTGACCCTGGAAAATATATGTAGTTCCATTTTCAGTCTTCAAGATACAGATTAAAATCTGGATTCATAGGATTTTTGAGGAAAGTACATGAATCTGTTCTGTGAGTTTTAAAATGCCTTATGTTATTTATCTAATTATACCTCTTTTTGTCCTATGAATGTAGAAGTAGAGGTCACTTAATAAGTGTAAATATGTGATTCTTAGAAGTAGCAAGGCCAAGAGTCAAATTTCACTTTAAAATAAATATTATTTCAGCAAAATATAAGGGACACACGGTAAAATCTCTTTATATTATATTATTGTCATTAACGCCCATGAAGTTAATTTTATAGATAGATAGAATGCCTTGTTGGAAGGAAGGGAACAGATTATTGTTCCTGAAATTTCACATAGTATATATATTTTCCCTCAATAATTTTATTTTACTTCTGAGCTCATGTAATTTTAAGTACAATTATTGTATCATACAGAAATTATTTTCCATGCTTGCCTCCACCAACATACAGTGTAAAAAATAATGATATAGTCTATGTTATAGAGTGCAGTGATGATAAAGATGAACACCCAATTCCAAAATAAGAATATTTTTATAAGCTGTTTCTTAAAATTGATTGCAATGAATCTGACACAAACCCAGCATTTGGCAAGAGTCTGCCTAAGGCACTCTTGCCTGTCTCCATCTTTCTGAAGCAGCTCTTGATGCCAAATCATGCCCAGAACACAGAGAACTTCCAAAGGGAGTGCTGAGCACCTAGCGTCGCAGCCAGAGATTACAGTCCTCACTGTAACGACCGATTTATTGACCGATGTAGGAAACCTTTGGTGTATTTTTACTGCCAGGATACACTTCTCTATTTTTTAGGGTGAATACGCTACTTTGCTTTGGAAAACTATCCCGTTTCAGCTTTTATTCCCCACGCTGTTTTGTTTGGAGCTAGTCCCATTCCTAGTTCTAAAATAGACACATGATTTCAACCTGAGCCAGTCAGAATATCACTTTCTTCCATACACATGACTGGTTCAGATAGGAGTAATTTGTCTGAGTAGAGAAAGAGAGATAAAGAGATGGAGAGAGTCAAACTGGGGCCCTGGTGACCACATATGACCTTGTGTTCAGCAATGCCAGGCAAAATTCCACTTTTCAGATACCTGAGGTTATGCAAGTGATTAAAGCTAATTTTGTTCCTGTTTTCTGTCACTTGCAAGTCAATTAACAGATACTATCTACATAAATATGGAGACCCTATCCCCGTTAATAGCAAGA